TCAAAGTACCTCTGTGCGCGAGTTCCTACTCGGTTCTCTGTACTCCTAGTACGTAGTAAAACATACTGTAATCGTTAGAACACGTGTAACGATTACGTACGCAACAGTGGAGTGATGTGGACACCAGATTGCAAATGGGAATGTTCGAATGAATGATGGATTAATTCGATTGGAATATTAAAGTGTCCGGTTGCACAGTAGCAAATTTCACATTCGCCAACTCCACTCCTTGGAATATGCTTTGCCCGTTCCAATATAGCGCTGCACGCGTTTTTCGTCGTATGGGGGAGTGGTGACATCTCTTTTCTGGGACCTACATACATGTTGGGTCGTGAAGCGATTAGATTGTTTCGTTTGTTGCTGGCTGGCTTGAACTGATCGAATGGTTGTGAGTGTGTAAAGTGTGTAAAGTGTGTAAAGTGTTTCAGACTTGAGATCTAATTGGCTGAGAATTCCAGTGGGTGCATCAAAATGTCTCACTGGAGTACAGTACTGTACTGTATTGCCAAATTCCATTGCACAGTTTTTTCAGTGTTGTTGTCAATATTTTAGTATTTTTTCCAATCAAATGAGAGATTTGAAAATGTAATGGCCAATTGGCTTGCACCCAATCCAAGTGTCGCATAACTAGTACGCGACGTAATCTCTGGACTGAAGACACTTGCGATTACGTTCTCATGTCCTCCAATAGGCATTCAAGCCTACGACTGCTTGCCTCTTTCAAAGGCATCTTCAGTTCTTCTCGCACTAGAGACGTACACAGTCCAAGTCATTTCATCGTTCTTGATTATAGGCGTGTCGTAGGTATCCGGATAGTTTCCCACATGGGTATATCCAATAAAACAACGCCATGTACCGGTACTGAGTAACTGTATTGCAATCCTTCTTCTTTTCTATTCCAAGACACCAAGCCAAATGATTGGCTCATTCGAAATGTCGACCGTGTGGTAAAGCGCCATTGCTTACATGGTTACACATGTTGGTCGGAGGTCTAAGGAGAGATGGGCATGCTTTGCATGAAGTACTCGTAGCTCATTCGAAGCTCTTCAGGTTGGTTGACAAACAAGCTTGATGGAGAATGCTAACGCTACCCCCGGCGTACCGCGCGACAACAGCATCGTCGTGCTTTACCGTGAGACAGACTGGATCGGGCGCCCCACCGACCTCAAGGACACTGAAGAGTACGAGCACTCGATACAACGCAGCCGCCGCAACCGCATCATCATGATCGCGACGGCCGCCCTTGTCATTGTTGGCGTCGCTATCGGTGTCATCGCCGGCACCACTGGCACCGACGAAGCGTCCGTGTCTTCTGGCGAGAGTGCAGCCACCGTTCCCACGCCGTCGCGCCCATCGACCCCCACCGCCGCGGCCGACGCCGTCGTCCCACCCAGTCCTTTGGTGAACAACTTGCCGGCGCCTGTTGTGAATGCCACGTGGAACGCCACGACTAGCGCCGAAGTCCTCGTTGGAAGCAACGGCGTCGAAATCGTCAATGCCACGCTGGACGCTTCCACCGTAACACCTGAACCCACCACCACCACGACTACTACCCCTGAAGGTAGGGGCACTACCCCTGAAACTACAACCACGACCCCTGCACCTACAACCACGACCCCTGCACCTACAACCACGACTCCTGCACCTACAACCACGACGCCTGCACCCACGACGACCACCGCCACTCCGCCACCTCCTCCAACCACAACCCGCGCCCCGCCAGCCCCCGCACCCCTTAGCCCCGGTCAGATCCGGTACGTGAACAACTGCGACAAAACGTACAAGCTATGGAAGAGCCATCGCGAACTGGCCACGCTCAAACCTGGCGACTCGTACGACACCCAGGGCACGGCCGACGTGTCCGCCGCGTACTACCTGTCGGACGACGGGTCTGGGAATGCGTCGTTGTTTGAAAACCACTTTGAAGGGGGCAATTTTTGGTACGATCTGAGCATCATCCCCGTCGGGTGTGGCTCGTCGTGGGACTCGTGCAATGGCAAACCTAAGAGCTTCAACCTGCCTGTGAGCGTCCGCGTGTCCGACCCGCGTGAGAACTGCAAACACTTGACGTGCGCATCTCCGTCGTGCACGGACGCGTACTTTGTGCCTAATGACAAGCAGACTTGGGTGTGCCCTGGCAGTGTCTCGATGACCGTCGCGTTTTGTTAAGAATAGTACACGTTTTGTTAAGAATACTTACAGAGTTGGCCCATCATGGTTGTTGAAGTATTATTTTATATTATTTTATTGGTGGGTTCTGGTGGCATTTGTTATGAAGGGGACGTTACTTGTTCATTACTACAGTACTACTAGTATGTACTCGTAGTAGTAGTATTGTGGAGATTACTACTGTAGTAGTAGTAGTGTGTTGGCTTTGTAGCGTTCGAACGGATGTTGAATTGATGCGATGACGGTACTGTATGTTTACACCGAGTGCTGTCGTACTAGGTAGTATTTTAAGTTGTGTGGGTTTGCAAGTGAATACTGTACTGTACCGGTACTTCGAAGTACTTCGTAGTAATAAGGAGTATATTGCATGTACTCGTACCAATATAATGAAGTCGGGAATCGAATGCACGATGAGTTGAGAGTTTGGGGGTGGTCCAGCCAACAGTGTAAGTTGACAGTACTTGTAGCCACCTACTAGTACTTACAGTCGCACCGGTGGGGATACTCTAAGGTTCAATTCAGTCAGAACAGTCTGTCCTTTTAGAGAACACCCCCACTGCCCTGTCAGTCAGGCAGCAACATTCGGCTAGCTGTGTAGAAGGTTTTTATGCGTTTTAGAGGCTTTCCTCTGGTAAGGTTAGAAAGAAGATATCGCCACGAAACGTCACAGATGTCGTGGCCAATCATAGTCTAGTCTGATTGGCTGTTTTTCTCTGTCGTCAGAACTACTATTAATAGTAACAGGTACCCGTAAACTACTTTCAGTCCTTCCTCCAAGCACTCGCGTGTCTGCTGCTGCTTTCTGCCCTCACCACTAATTTCACCTCGTTGATACAGTATGTGCTCTACGCGCACCAGACTTGGCTTCTACTTTTTGGCTGCATGGGACAGATCCACCACTTAATAAGAACAATTTCCTGAGAATCACAGTTGCACTGTTTTACTGTTACTCCCGTATTAGTACTACTCGTAGTAACCGGTACGCTACCCAGTGTACTGTACTGTAGTAGTAAGCCCTGGAGCCTCGGAATCCCCCTTGTGTTGCTGTTCGTGGGGTTAAGTTACATCAGCAGTGCTTAGCGATAGCTAACCACTGAAATACACTTAACCCCTAGGTGGAATGTGTTGCTTTGGTTTACACTGTATTTGACTATGACTTACTTCGAGTTAACTACAATAGTAGTACCGTATAGTGTAATACGAGTCGGACAGTGATATGCCGTATCCGAATACGGATACGATGTGAATTACAAGGTGATCTTGGCTTTCGTTCCGGACATACAAATACAAAGTAGTCCTACACCAAGCCTAAAATTGCAAAAAACATTATATTACCACGGAAATTCAGTTTCACAGGAAATAGACAAGAAGAGAGATCGACGTGAATAAAAATACCAAGTCGCCATACAAAACATTT